CATCATCTTTTAAAAATCTTATAAAAATCTACAGACTTTGATGCATGAAATGCTGTGAAGCACCAATAATCACAGAAGTATATATGTCTATGAGGTAATATATGAAAAAGAGTCCGCGTATCGATCCCACAATTAACAGTTTAATTTTCAATTAAGTCAAACTTCTTGTTTATTAATCCTCGGCTTAACTTGAATGGTTGAAGAATTGCTTTGTTTATTGTTTTTTTTAATGGAAGTTTCGGCTCTGTTTAGAAAAAAAATGACTGAATTTTAAAATTACTAAATCCTAAATTCTACAAAATATAAAACATAAGTAAAAGTAGTGGTGATTTCTTTCGAGTGAAAAGTTGTCCCCTAAATTGAATATTAAAAATCTAGGTTTAACTAAGTTATTAGGATAAGAGTGACAATCAAGAATAATTTTCAAACTTATCCCCTCCAACCGGTCCAAGGATGACGTTTATAAAAATACACTTTATTTCTTAAGTCTGAAGATTTTCCTATGCGCTCCTCCTTTGGTGCATGGGTACCAATACTATTATTAGCTTATTTTCATTCATTTGATTTTACATTAATATTTTTACTTATATTCTATATAATACAACACGAACATCTTCCACAAGTATAAAATTAACATAAAAATGTGTTAAAAATGATGTTAGTGAAATATATGATAATCAATCTAATTTTTTTTATAATTTAGCCTATTAGTTATTCATACTTTTTGCTTTTTCAGGTATTTTTGTGCAATTGCAGCGTATATGTACCAATGAGAGCTTGAAAATGCATTAAAGAGACTGCCGAGTGAACTCAAAAGAAGCTACTTCAGAAATCAGTCCAATGGAGAGCCAAATAAAGTTCAGATAGAGTTGCGCCTAGGCGCCACCTTAGGAGCGCCTATGCACTACCTAAGCTCAAGTCCACATTGTATATGGAATGCATGGAGCCATACATGGTGCACATATGGGTTCCTTCAAATTAACACATGATAATGGCACCTTGGCGCTGGTGCCCCTTCAAAGAGTTGGAGCTTCACTATAGTGGCGCCTTGACGTCAACTACATGAGAGAAAAACAAACTGAAATTGAAGAAAGAGAATCTTGACACTGCAAGGAGAAATTCTGATGCTTAAGAACCACCATTGGGAGTCAAGTAGTTCCATTCGTATGGCGGCGGAGGATGCTCTAGTGTGCTACCATTGTCTCGACATTTCATCTGAGTGAGAGTGAGAAAGAGAAAATTTTGTGGGGGATTATTTAGGAGGATTGTCGAAGAGACTTGTGAACATCAGTGAAAGAGTTGTGGATATAAATTTTCAACTTAAGGGTGAAATCTATCCGGGTTTCTTATTTACTCATATACTTTGTGCTTTGATTAAGAAAATATTTTTCTTATTTTTTCGAAGCATGTGTTGCCCATAATCCTCTTTTCTTCTCTGATTTAGTGAGTAGAAGTTGTCAGCTTTTGAAGTTTGTGGCTTGTATGCATCGTCATTGTAGTGGTGTTTTAGTTGTTAAAACTTCAATTACATTCAATATGACCAATTGAATTATTAAAATTATTATGAACCGAGTTTCTGAAGTATCGACCCACGCCTAAAGTACAAAGTTAGCAGCCGATAGCGACAAGTTCTGCGAAGGGTGTCTAACGATCGTCAGAGACCTATGGAACGTAACATAACCCGACAACGACAAGCTTCGTGAGGGGTGCATAAACGATCATCATGCACCCAAATCATAAAATTTATACCGGACCGTAACAATATTTTTGAGAGGTGGACAACTCAAAGACTCCCCTCGGCGAGCGACTACAAGACTTCCCCGGGGGGAGCAACTCTGGGACTCCCGCAGGTGATGACGAAAGTATCAGAACCGAGCATGAAAAATACCTAGCAAGGAGTACCATTAGTAAATTACGTGCTCAAGATTTCTTTGATTTATTAAATTTCTTGTTCTTATCGCAGCTTTTCCTGTCAAATAGCAAGAAAATTGAAGAACTTAATGTGTACCCAAAAAATGATCTGCACAAATCTCGAAGAAATATAATAATCGATCGACTCACTTCAATTGACTGACCAAGCTCTCTCCCTTGATCACCTCACTTCAGTCGACCGACACA